CCTCATGCCCTGACCCCTCATGCTGGGGCGTTGGCTGGCCCATCATGCGTTCAACCCCTCATTCTGGGTTATTACCCCTTCACGCGTTGACCCCTCATGCCGGGGCTTCGGCCCCTCATGCCCTGACCCCTCATGCTGGGGCCTTGGCTGGCCTCTCATGCGCTGACCTCCTCATGCTGGGGTATTGGCCCTTCATGCGTAGATCCCTCATGCCGGGGCTTCGGACCCTCATGCCCTGACCCCCTCATGCTGGGGCCTTGGCTGGTTCCTTATGCGGTGACCCCCTCATGCTGGGGCATTGGCCCTGCATGCGTTGACCCCTCATGTCAGGGCTTCGGTCACTCATGCTCTGATCCGCTCATGCTGGGGCCTTGGCTGGCCCCTCATGCGTTGACCCCCTCATGCTGGGGCATTGGCCATTGATGCGCTGGCCCCTCATGGCAAGGCTTCGGCCCCTCATGCTCTGATCCGCTCATGCTGGGGCCGTGGCTGGACCCTCATGCATTTACCCCCTCATGCTGGGTCATTGGCCCTTCATGCGTCGACCCACCATGCTGGGGCATTGGTCCCTCACGCATCGGCCCCTTAAGCTGGGGCCTTGGCTGGCCTCTCATGAATTGACTCCAACACTCTGGGGCAGCACCCCTTCATGCGTTGACCCGTCATGACCCCCTCATGCCGGGGCTTCGGCCCCTCATGCCCTGACCCCTCATGCTGGGGCCTTGGCTGGCCCCTCATGCGCTGACCTCCTCATGCTGGGTCATTGGCCCTTCAGGCGTTGACCCCTCATGCCAGGGCTTCGGACCCTCATGCCCTGACCCCTCATGCTGGGGCTTTGGCTGGCCCCTCATGCGTTGACCCCCTGATGCTGGGGCATTGACCCTTCATGCGTTGACCTCTCCTGCCGGGGCTTTGGCCCCTCATGCGCTGACCCCTCATGCTGGGGCTCTGGCTGGCCCCTGATGCGTTGATCACCTCATGCTGGGGCAACGCCCCTTCATGCGTTGACCCCTCATGCCGGGGCTTCGGTCCCTCATGCGCTGCCCCGCTTATGATGGGGGCCTTGGCTGGCCCCTCATGCAATGACCCCCTCATGCTGGGGCATCGGCCCTTCATGCGTTGACCCCTCATGCCAGGGCTCCGGACCCTCATGCCCTGACCCCTCATGCTGGGGCGTTGGCTGGCCCCTTCTGAGTTGACCTCCTCATGCTGGGGCATTGCCCCTTCATGCGATGACCCCACATGCCCGGGCATCGACCCCTCATGCCCTGACCACCCATGCTGGGGCCATGGCTGGCCCCTCATGCGTTGACCCCCTCATGCTGGGTCATTGGCCCTTCAGGCATTGACCCCTCATGCCCGGGCATCGGACCCTCATGCCCTGACCCCTCATGCTGGGGCCGTGGCTGGCCGCTCATGCGTTGACCCCCTCATTTCGGGGCATTTGCCCTGCATACATTGACCCCTCATGCCAGGGCTTCGGCCCCTCATGCGCTGACCCGCTCATGCTGGGGGCCTAGGCTGGCCCCTCATGCGTTGACCTCCTCATGCTGGGGGATTGGCCCTTCATGCGTTGACCCCTCATGCCGGGCCTTCGACCCCCCATGCTTTGACCCATCACGCTGGGTCATTGGCCCTTCAGGCGTTGACCCCCCCATACGGGGGCTTCGGCCCCTCATGCCCTGGCCCGCTCATGCTGGGGCCTTGGCTGGCCCCGCATGCGTTGACCCCCTCATACTGGGGCATTGGCCCTTCATGTGTTGACCCCTCATGCCAGGGCTTCGGCCCCTCATGCGCTGACCCCTCACGCTGGGGCCTTGGCTGGCCCCTCATGCGTTGACCCCGGTCATCCTGGGGCCCTGCATGCGTTGACCCCTCCTGCTGGGGCTTCGGCCCCTCATGCCCTGACCCCTGGTGCGGGGGTCTTGGCTGGCCCCTCACGCGTTGACCCCCTCATGCTGGGGCATCGGCCCTTCTGGCGTTGATCCTTCATGTCAGGGCTTCGGACCCTCATGCCCTGACCCCTCCTTCTGGGACCTTGGCTGGCCCCTCATGCGTTGACCCCCCCAAGCTGGAGCATTCGCTCTCCATGCGTAGACCCCCTCATGCCAGGGCTTCGGTCCCTCATGCCCTGACCCCCTCATGCTGGGGCATTGGCTGGCCCCTCATGCGTTGATCACCTCATGCTGGGGCATTGGCCCTTCATGCGTTGACCCCACATGCCAGGGCTTCGGCCCCTCACGCCCTGACCCCTCATGCTAGGGCCTTGGCTGGCCCCTCATGCGTTGACCCCCTCGGCCCTGCATGCGTTGACCCCGCACGCCGTGGTTCGGCGGCTCATGCCCTGACCCCCTCATGCTGGGGCCCTGGTTGGCCCCTCATGCTTTGACACGCCCGTGCTGAGGCATTCGCTCTTCATGCGTTGACCCCTCATGCCAGGTCTTCGGCCCCTCATGCCCTGACCCCTCATGCTGGGGGCCTTGGCTGGCCCTTCATGCGTTGACCCCCTCATGCTGGGGGACTGCCCCTTCATGCGATGACCCCTCATGCCGGGAGCTGGCCCCTCCTGCGTTGACCTCCTCATGCTGGGGCATTGGCACTTCATCTGTTGACCCCTCATCTTCGCGCTCCAGATGCCACCCCTGACAGGGCAGCCCTCCCCGTGTGTTACCCATAACCCGAGAAGTCAACTCTTTTCTCCGCACGCGCTACCCTCAACTTGGAATGCATTGGCATGCACTGGCCTGCGTTGGCATGCATTGGCATGCGTTGGCATGCGTTGGCATGCGTCGGCATGCATTGGCATGCGTCGGCATGCATTGGCCTGCATTGGCCTGCATTTGCATGCATTGGCGTGCGTTGGCGTGCTATGGCATGCGATGGCATGCATTGGCATGCGTTTGCATGCATTGGCATGCATACGCGTGCATTGGCATGCCATGACATACGTTGGCATGCATTGGCATACATTGGCATGCATTGGCATGCATTGGCATGCGTTGGCACGCGTTGGCGTGCGTTGGCATGCATTGGCATGCTTTGGCATGCAGTGGCATGCCTTGGCATGCATGGGCATGCATTGGCATGCATTACCATGCATTGGCATGCATTGGCATGCGTTGGCGCTCAAGGTAGCCTGCATTTACATGCATTGGCAGGCCTTGGCATTCATAGGCATGTTTTGGCGTGCGTTGGCATGCATTGGCATGCGATGGTGTGAATTGGCATGCATCTGCATGCACTGGCATGCGTTGGCCTGCATTCGCGTGCGTTGGCGTGCGTTGGCATGCGTTGGCATGCTATGGCATACGTTGGCATGCATTGGCAGGCGTTGGCATGCATTGGCATTCATTGGCATGCCTTGCCATGCGTTGGCATGCATTGGCATGCGTTGGCATGCTGTGGCATGCAGTGGCATGCGTTGGCATGCGCTGGCATGCATTGGCGTGCATTGGCGTGCATTGGCATGCATTGGTGTGCGTTGGCGTGCGTTGGCATGCTATGGCATACGTTGGCATGCGTTGGCATGCGTTGGCATGCGTTGGCATGCATTGGCATGCGTTTGCGTGCTATGGCATGCACTGGCATGCACTGGCATGCGTTGGCATGAATTGGCATGCGATGGCATGCACTGGCGTGCGTTGGCGTGCTATGGCATGCGTTGGCATGCGTTGGCATGCGTTGGCATGCTATGGCATGCGTTGGCATGCATTGGCATTCGCTGGCATGCATTAGCATTCATTGGCATGCATTGGCATGCCTTGGCATGCGTTGGCATGCATTGGCATGCAATGGCATGCATTGGCGACCCTCACCGCGTGCTACCCCTCACTTGGGCAGCCAATTCGTCCTTGTGGGGGCTACTAGCCAGGGCGAGCCCTCGCTAGCAACCCCTACTAACAGGCTGCGAGTTTGGGTGAACCCAAGCAGACCTGGCTGGCAGTTTGGTCAGTGATCATCCTCGTCTTCTTCCTCCTCCTCCTCCTCCTCCTCCTCCTCCTCCTCCTCCCCCTCCTCCTCCTCGTCCTCCTCCTCCCCCTCCTCCTCCTCCTCCTCGTCCTCTGCCCCCCCCCCCGCGTCCTGCCTCATATCAACCTCCTCTTCCTCCTGCCTCCGCCCTCCTTCGCCGCCTCCGCCCGCCTCGCCTGGCAAGGGGCGCAGGCCGTGATACCGCCGGGGCCGACTGCAGAGGACTCCTCCGGAGACAAGTTTTCGGCCAGGCATGTCCCCCTTCAGGCGGATTTTGGGCGAATCATTGAGCGCACCCAAAAATGCCCCCAAATAGCAACGAATGCTCAAAGAATCGTCCCCAGACTATTCTTTTCCTATTCGGGGATGCTCCTCCTGCAGAGGGGCATGCCCGACAGAAGCCGAGCTGTGCCCCGCGCGTGGAGAGGGCAGGACATCCGACCGACAGGACACGGGGGACCGTGCCCCGTGCTCATCACGTCACTGGCCTACGGGATGACCGTCCTGCCCTTAAGTCGAGCCTGTCCCCCTACAGGGGGATTTTCGACGAAAAATTGAAAATACCCCAACAATCATCAAAAAATAGTCCAAAAATAGTATGGGGACTATGTTTTGAACATTGTTTGACCTTCTTGGGGTATTTTGAAGGTATTTTTGGGGTATTTTTTTTTTTTCGTCGAACATCCCCTTGTAGGGGGACACGCCCGACATAATCCTACCCGCCAAAAATCCATTGGTTCACTTTGGCTCGAGGGCAACGGGGAGATCTGGGCCCTGCGCCACAGCGGCACCGACGGCTCCCGGCCCCTGTGGGCTTTCTCGGGGGGACCCCCCTGAGTTCTTGGCGGCGCGCAAAAGGGGGTTGGGGGAGGGGGGAAGGCTTCTTAGAAGCACCCTGCTTCTTCGAAGGCCTCGGCCTTACGACTATAGAGAAGGCCCACGCCTCTAAGAAGCAGGGGTGTTTCTAAGAAGCCTTCCCCCCTCCCCCTACCCCCCTCTGCGCGTTGCCGAAATTTGCAAGGTCGCCCCGCTCATCGGGCCCGACGGGTAGCTTTACCACGAGCAAGCTCCCAACCCTCGAGGGCGCCGGGGTCCTCGCCGGCGGCTCCAGGAGCCTCCTGGGCGGCCTCCTGGGCGGAGGGGGGCAAGACGAGTGGTGAAGGTGAAGGGGGAGACATGTGGCGAGCGGCCTCGTTGACCTCAATGACAACGGTGAGGCCTCCCCAAGGTGGCGCCAGGATACTCCCCAAGACGGCCCACAAGGACACTCCCCCAGTCCAGCTCAGAACCACCCGTGTTAGCACCCCCAGAACCTCTATTCACTAGAAGCTTCACCCCCCATCCGTGAAGGTCGTCAGTGCGGGGAGCCACAGTAGATGTACTCGGAGGATCGCACCGCATCGCCGATGCCTCGGCGATGTGGGGTTCCAATGAGTCGGCGATGCGACGCGACCCTCCGACTCTATCCACCCTCTACACCACGCGGGTGGCCGAGAGAAGCAGAAAAGAGCTTTCGAACACCTCCCGGCCGGCCTCCTGAGCGGAGCCCGGGGCTTGCCCCAGCTTGTTGCGGGCATGCTGCTGCCTCAGCAGCGCCTCCATATCGGTCTTGTGCCTGTGCGCAACCGCGCGCGCACCACACACACATCCATCCACCATGCTGTTTTGCCTGCTCGCTCCTTCGCGCCGCTCCTCCCCAGCCCGCCCTGCTCCAAGTCGTTGTTCCACTCCTCTTTGTTTATTTTCTCTCTCTTTCTCTCTCTCTCTCTCTATATATATATACATATGTATATATCAAATATATGTGCGTACAGCTCTGCAGATGTGTGTAGATAGAGCTATTGCTGTTGCCAAGGGGGTACTCCTAGAGTTTCTAAAGTGCACAACGAAGAACTTTACAATAACGAGTGGCACGCGTGCCATGGCTGTCACAAAAGTGGGAGGAGAAGGAGGACGAGGAGGTGCAGGAGAGGGGGGAAGAGGGGGCGAGACATCGGCAAAGGAGGGAACAATGAGGGCCGCAAGAGGCGCTTCAGAGGTCGAGCTCGCGGAGGCTCTGAAGACCGTCCCCCGCACGATGGCTTCAAAGAGCTTTAACATGTTCCCAAGAGGCCTCCAACAGTCACCCAACGAGCCCACAGACGGTCCCAAGAGTTCCCTGGGAACCCCAAGAGGCATTGAAGAGACTCTCCAGGGGCCTCCAAGATCCAAGGAGGGCCTCCGAGGCTCTCGGATGGCCTCCAAGATGGGTACAAGACAGCTCCAGACGGTTGAAAGTGTTGCGCCGCGAAATGACGTTTTCGGGACGGAGGGGGCACTGGGCTGCTAGGGGCAGTCGGGAAAGGTGACGGGGGGGTCCTGCGGAGGGGATGGGTGGGAAGGGGGGGGCTCCGATGCGATACTGAAAAGGCTAGGCCGGAGGGGGCATTGGGCTGCTGGAAGACAGTGGGGACCGGGGGCGGGGGAGGTAGCCTGCGGGGGGTGAGGGGTGGCCTGCCGAGAATGGCCAATAGTGGGTAGAAGGGGGTGGGAGCCGTGGCCTGCCGAGAGGGGGGGCGTGGGGAGTGGGGGCTGGGACGCGAAAGTTGGAAAAGGGCGGAGGTGGAAGCGGCAATAGGCTGCTGGAGGACAGTGGGATGAAGGGGGCGGGGGCGGTGTCCCGCGGAGGGGGGAAGTGGGGGAGGCGTCGCTACAGCTCGAAATTGAAATTGTCGGGGCGGAGAGGGCACTGGGCTGCCAGACAGTAGGGACAGCACGCGGGGGCGGGGTCCTGCGGGGAAAGGGCGTGGGGCAATGGGGGGGAGTGGGAGGGCTGCGACGCGAAAAATAATGGTCGGGGCGGAATGGGCGCTGGCGGGGGGGAGAGGAGGGGGGCGGGGGGCTGCGACGCGAAAAAAAAATTATCGGGGCGGGGGGGCATTGGGCTGCTAGAGGACAATGGGCACAGAGGGGGCGGGGGCGGGGGTGCTGGAGGAGGGTGGGCGGGGGGGGAGGTGGGGAGAGAGGGGTGGGGCGAGGGGCTGAGACGTGAAAGAAAAATGGTCGGGGCGGAGGGGGCACTGTGCTGCTGAGGGACAGTGGGGACAAGGAGCGGGGGCTGCAATGGGGGCGAGAGGTAGGGGCGGTGGCATGCCGAGGGTACGGGGCCTGGGATGGGGGGACTGGAGGACGGTGGCGGCGGCGGTGGCCCGCAAAAGGGGGGAGGGCTGCGACGCGAAAACTCAAATGGTCGGGGCGGGGGGGACTGGGCTGTTGGAAAACACTGGGGCCAGCGGGCGGTGGCGGGGGGCTTGCGGGGGAGGGCTACGATAAAATGGTCGGGGCGGCGGGGCACTGGGGCGGGGAGGGCGTGGGGCGGGGGACTGCGACGCGAACTTTGAAATGGTCGGGGCGGACTGGGTGCTGGGCTGCTGGAGGACAATGGGCACAGGGGGGGGGGGCGGTGGCCTGCGGGGGGCGGGGTGGGGGGCGGCGGGGAAAGGAGGGGGGGGGGGAGGTGGGGGGGAGGGGGCTGGGACGGGGGGCTGCGACGCGAAAAATAACATGGTCGGGGCGGGGGGGGGGGCACTGTGCTGCTGGAGGACAGTGGGGACAGGGGAGCAGGGGCGGAGGCCTCAATGGGGACGAAGGGTAGGGTCGGTGGGATGCCGAGGGGAAGGGGGCGGGCGGGGAGAAAATCTGGAGGACGGCGTCGGTGGCGGCGGCCCGCGGAAAGGGGAAGGGGGGGGAATGTGGCTGCGACGCGGAATCAATGAAGTGGTCGAGGCAGAGGAGGCACTGGGCTGCTGGAGGACAACGGGGACACCACGTGAAAACTAAAATGGTCGGCGCGAGGGGGGCACTAGGCTGCGGGAGGACACCGGGCGGTGCCCGAGAAGCCCCCCCTTGTGTGTATGTGTATGTGTATGTGTATGTGTATGTGTATGTGTATGTGTATGTGTACGCGTATGTGCATGTGTATGTGTATGTGTATGTGTATGTGTATGTGTATGTGTATGTGTATGTGTGCGCGTGTGTGTGCGCGTGTGCGTGTGCGTGTGCGTGTGCGTGTGTGTGTGTGATTGTGTAATTGCGTGTTTGCGTGTTTGCGTGTTTGCGCTTGTGTGTATGTGTGCGCGCGTGTGTGTGCGCGTGTGCGTGTGCGTGTGCGTGTGCTTGTTGCGCGTGTGTGTGTGTGTGTGATTGTGTGATTGCGTGTTTGCGTGTTTGCGTGTTTGTGCTTATGTGTATGTGTGTGCGTGTGTGCGTGTGTGCGTGCGCGTGTGCGTGTGCGCGTGCGTGTGCGTGTGCGCGTGCGTGTGTGTGTGTGTGTGATTGTGTGATTGCGTGTTTGCGTGCTTGCGTGTTTGTGCTTGTGTGTATGTGTGTGCGTGTGTGTGTGTGTGTGCGCGCTTGTGCGTGTGCGTGTGCGTGTGCGTGCGCGCGCGTGTGTGTGTGTGTGTGTTTGCGTGTTTGCGTGTTTGCGTGTTTGCGGGTTTGTGCGTGAGTTTGTGTATGTGTGTGTGTGTGTCTGTGCATGTGCGTGTGCGTGTGCGTGTGCGTGCGCGTGTGCGTGTGCGTGTGCGTGTGCGTGTGTGTGTGTGAATGTGTGCGTGTGTGTGCGAGTGTGCGTGTTTGCGTGTGTGTGTGGAGGGTAGGTGCGAAATCCTCATCGACCGTGGTTTACTATCTAGGAATGAAAACCTAGGTTCGTTATCTTGAAATGATACCTTATGGATTATTATCATGTGAGTAGATCCCCGGCCGAATCATTATCTTTCCGGAAGAATCATCCTGAGTCCAACATTATGGACCAAGGCTTATTTCGGTCCGGAACGTACTCTCAAACGGTGCGCCCCAGGCTCAATCATTATCATTCCAGAATCATGAACCAGGGGCCAATATTCTGGAAACATAATGAATTCTCCCGGAGATAATAAACCGGGGTCCGTATTGCGACATGGAAAAACCTGTTGGGGAACCTGGGGGTTGGGAGGAACATCATAATTTCTATCATTCCGGAATTACGAAAACCGGTTTCATTATTCCCAGGACAACGTAAACCCCAGTCAATATTCCCGGAACATTTTGAAGCCAAGTTAACATGATTTTGGGGGCGACATCCCCAGAACATTTTAACCAGGGTGTATAATGCTCCGAAGGGGAACATTATGAACCCCAATCAAGATTCCCAGAACATTAAAACCCAGGTTCATAATACCGGGTTCATTCTTCCCGGGGCATCATAAACACCACCCCAGTCAATATTCCCGGAACATTATGAACCCAGGTTAATATGCTTTTGGGGTCGAAATCCCCAAAACATGTTTTAACCAGGGTTTATAATGTTCCGGGGGGAACATTATGAACCCCAGTCAATATTCCCACCAGAACCTTGAAACCCAGGTTCATAATGTTCCGGGCGAGACATTATGAACCCTGGTCAATATTCCCAGAACGTTATAAGCCCAGGTTCATGTCTTTTTGAGGTGCATCCTGTGTGTGTGTCTGCGTGCTTGCGTGGTTGTGTGTTTGTGTTTGTGTTTGTGTGCGTGTGTGTGTGTGTGTGCGTGTGCGAGTGCGTGTGCGTGTGCGTGTGCGTGTGCGTTTGCGTGTGTGTGTGTGGTGTGTGTCTGTGCATGTGGGTGTGCGTGTGCGTGTGCGTGGGCGTTTGCGTGTGCGTGTGCGTGTGCGTGTCATTGCGTGTTTGCGCGTTTGCGTGTTTACGCGTTTGCGTGTTTGCGTGTTTGCGTGTTTGCGTGTTTGAGTGTGCGTGCGTGCGTGTGTGCGTGTGTTGTGTGTGCTGTGTGTGTTGTGTGTGTGCGTGTGTGTGTGTGTGCGCGTGAGTGTGTGTGTGTGTGTGTGAGTGTGTGTGAGTGTGTGAGTGTGTGAGTGTGTGAGTGTGTGAGTGTGTGTGTGTGTGTGCGTGCGTGCGTGCGTGCGTGCGTGCGTGCGTGCGTGCGTGCGTGCGTGCGTGCGTGCGTGCGTGCGTGCGTGCGTGCGTGCGTGCGTGCGTGCGTGCGTGCGTGCGTGCGTGCGTGCGTGTGTGCGTGTGTGATTGTGTGTGGGTGTGTGTGGGTGTGTGGGTGGGTGGGTGGGAGGGGCGGGGGGGCTGCGACGCGAAAAATAACATGATCGGGGCGGAGGGGGCACTGGTCTGCTGGTGGACAGCGGGGACAGTGAGGACTGGGGAAAGGGGCGTCAGCCCGCAGTTGGGAGGGGGGCGGGGAGGGGGGTTGCGACGCGAAAAATAAAGTGGTCGGAGCTCCTAGACACCCTGTGCAAGATAATACGAGGTCGACTGTGCCGACAAGGCGTGCCCAATTCCTTGGCAGGTTGCCGTGCGCGCTGTACCCCTAGCAAGGGGGTGACTGTGACCCTCCCGGCGACTGGTTGCAGCTAGCTGTCGGGTCTGAGCGTCCAGCCTCTGCAAGTCAACTTCGAACACAAAAGGCAAACCCATGGCCAGAACCGCTCGGTGACACTTGGTCCGCCTCCTGTCGGTAAGATGTCGCAGCAGTCTGCGCCTCTGCCGAAATCGGTGCCACAGGAGAGGCAGACACTGATGTCAGCGTTACCCAACGACATCACATTCCGTCCCTTGTGCTTGAGCCGTTGATGCTGCAAACAAGTCCTTCTCGCAGGTAAAGCGAGCCGTGTTACCTGGAGGACACAACGTGTTGATGCACGACTTCACAGCGGAACCATGGGGTGGCACGTTTCTGTCACCTGCTGACTCGCAAAAACGAATGCGACTGAATACGCAGGCGGCCACACTCCGAAAGATGTTCGGCCATGCTTACCAATGGTCAGCGTCAGCGTTTGGGGCGGAGCCGCCAGACGGCCTACGAGGCGTCCAACGCGTCCCAAAAGACCTCCAAGAGCTCTTCCCAGATAATTCCCAAGACGCACAAATCGCCCCGTTCCCGTAGGACACCGACACTGTTAGCAGACTCGCCTCTTGGGCTTTCATCCAAGACGGCCCGAGAGGCCGCTCAGGTCGCCTCAAGGTGGCCAAGGAGGCCCCCATGGGGACTCCAAGACCGCCCAAGAGGGTCCCCAAACGGCCCAAGATGCCTCCAGGACGGCCCGAGAGGTCCCCAAGACGGACACCAGAGGACCCCAAAGTGAGGGACCGCGGACGGACTGCTCGAACTCGCCGCCCCCGACGGACCTCCCAGGCCAGCAGAGGGCGCTCTGAAGACAGCCCCAGAAACACCCCAGACGGTCCAAGAGGGCTCCGAGTCGCCGACACCTTCGCCCAAGACAGATCCCAAAAGACCCTCAGGACCCCCCCCTGGCCCGATCCCGTTTGTAGAATCTATGTCCGTCCGTCTCTCTCTTCCTTTCTCTCCCCAATTCTCGCGTTCTCCCTCTCACCCTTTCTGCCCATCTCAGCCCTGCCTCCCTCGCTCCATCGTCAGCGCGTGGCACACAGGGGGGAAAAAGAGGCGGAGACGCAGGAATGCTGGGGTCAAGAGGGAGTCACAAGCCAGGAAGATGAGAAAGAAGGACAACTTCTTGAACGTCCTGGAGAAACCCCAGAACCACCTTATATTCCAAACACACTCCACCCTCTAACTCCTTCCCCTCGACGGAAAAGAGGATCTCAAAGCCTGCTCGCGTGATCCGCCCCGAGCTCTGCGTCGGAGTCCTCGCCCGAATCCTCGTCCGCGAGACCCGTCCCCTGGTCCTCCTCGCTCTCGCCGTCGTCGGCGTCCTGCAAGTACTGGCGCCACGAGTCGTCCTCGACGGGAAGGCAAAGGTCGGGGCGGACGAAAGGAGGGGGTAAAAGGGCGATTGGCGAATCAGCTCGCGCAGCTGACTTTCCTGGCGCCAGGGGCGCCCATGCATCAAGGAAAGCGCCAGGCGGCGGGCCGAAACTGGCTGCACGCAGCCCATAGTTCCGCCTCTCATCCAACCTGGAAAGGAGGTGCGAGGAGTGGTGGGTAAACGTTGACCTGGGATCGACGGCACATCGCTTGACAACCCTCGACAACAGAGCAGCGTGCTCCTGGACACCAACGGGATCGCCCGCGCCCACTGTCGACGGCGGGTGGGCTATCCGGGGTCGATGCTCACCCCCCTGGTTCTGACGAGCGAACAACACACACACACACCCATACCCATAGGGGGAACGTTGGGAAGAGGACTGGCTATGGGTATGGGTGCGGGTTGTCGGATCCTGGGGGGGGGTTCCTTTCGAGCGGCGACCCCCATCTGACAACACGCACCCATAGCCCCCTCCGTCCCACCTATGGATCTGGGTGCGTGCTGTTCGTTCGTCATGACCCCCTGTTCGTTCCCCCGAGTCCTTGAGATCAGCTTCCTCGTCGTCCTCCTGAGCATGGCTGTGGGCACTGGGGCCGGCGGCGGAAAACACTGGCTGCGCGCCTGTGGCCGCAGACAGGGCCTTCTGTACTGGGGGGGGAAATAGAGGGACGGGGAGGAGGGAAGGGACGGGGAGCAGAAGCAGACATCCCCAAGCAGGCGGCGTCCTGATTTTGTCAATACGCCCCCCTCGAAGTCCCGACCCTTTCGACGAGGCTCGCTTTTCCCCTACGCCACTCCGTGGACCATCCTCGCGAATCGGCGCGGCCTGCATGAACCACGAAGAAGATCAGTGTCGACAAGATCCCACGACAGCTTGGCCATAGCCATCGAAACTCTCCCGTCGAAAAGAAACCGTCTCTCCCCCGAGGAGGCCTCCAGCCCGGCGCCCGCCACCAGCTCCGCGATCTCGCCCTCGGCGATCTCGCCGTCCAGCCTCTCCGCGTCCGGCGACTCGGCCGCGGGCTCGTCCCCCAGGGCCTCGTCCTCCTCGGGAGGACGAGGAGGAGAGGGAGGAGAAGGGCGAAGAGGGGGGCGGAGGACGAAGATGCTTGTTTAGAAGGCCAAGGGGGCAAAGAGGTTGTCTGCCGCTTGGAAAATGACTCCAGCAGGAGCCCCGTCCCTCAGGAGGGACCCTGGTTGAGGGTGCTTGCGAAAACACAACCAGACGATTCATGCAGGGATGATCCGGCCGAGATGTCAGCGAAACCTGGATGGTGGCTCGTTTGCAACCGAACCAAGCCCCGTAGCAGTGCGAATAGATTCGGAGACGCCGGAGTCACCCTTCAGGCCGCGACGAAACCAATGCAGAGTACTATGCAATCTGATGTCCGACAGTTGAGTGGGCGACTTGATCACCACTCCCGCCCGCGTGGCGGTGCAATATATTCGGAGAGCGCGAGGTGGAGTGGGAGGATCGTCTTCTCCTCTTGCGCAGATATCACTGGAGCTGATTCCACTCCACTGTTGCTCGTCGTCGCTCGTTCGCTCGCTGCCCCCCCTTCCCCTCCCCCCATTGATCCCCGGCTCGTGCAGGAGTCCCCGCATGGGCGTGCCACTCATATTTTCAAGGGGCTCAAGGACACACAAATGAATACATACAAATCCCAGGATGCCCGATATTTTCCTATATTTTCTGGGTTATCGCCTTCCCCCCCACTTCCCATATTTTCCCCTATTGTCCTGGTGAGTCGACGATTAATTGTGTCAGACACAATGTGCCAGTGTGTGTTTTGCCTCCTGGATAATTGTCCCCCTAAGCAGCTTGTGTGTAAGGGCTCTGCCATGTTTCCCTCTAAGGCGAAGGATGCTTCTCCCGTGCCCAGCATGGGCAGCCCGTGGTCTCCGACACGGTCTCCCGAGTGGCCTCTCGTGTGGCCCGCACGGTCGCGCGTCTGCTCTCCCGTATGGTCTCCCGCATGGGTCTCCCGCATGGCCTCTGGCATGGTCTCTGGTACGGTCTCCCGCACGGCCTCCCGCACGGTCTCCAGCGGGGACTCTTGTGTCGGTCTCCCGCATGGTCCCCCGGGTGTGGTCTCCCTTATGAGTATGGCATCCCGCACGGTCTCCCGTCAGGGACGGAGGGCAGGCAGCTTCCCAAATGCGGCTCTCGCCCGAGCGCCGCGCACACCTTCGCTCCAAAGCGCCTCACCGTTGCAACAGGGAAGGCCGGGACGTTCTCGTCAAAATGCGGCTCGCGCTGGGGCCGTCCTCCACCGCCTTGGCCCAGAGTTCCAAACTGCGCAACAATTGCACTGATGAAAGGCGACTCCTTTTAACATGAGGGTCTCGCGTTAGACTTTCGCGAACTTTCAAACAAGAACGTTGAAACATGGTGCTGCACTTCTACAGGATGGCATATAAGTTCAAAACGGGATTATCGCTGAACGCTGCCTCGAAGTCCATCCATATACCTTGGCGCTCATTAAAAAGAAAATCCACCGACCCTACCGGCGTGTGTGAGAGACGATGTTCCGTCGCCTGCGCTTATCCTCAAGCGACCCAGCCAGACGAAAATCGAACAACGATGTACTCGAGTCAAAGGGAAGTCTCTTCCCTTTGATTACTTTTTCGCGCCAGGGGGGGGGGTCAAGGGGGAAACCTCCCAAGGGGAGCCGCGAAGTCTTGACCCCCTCTCCGACCAAGATGGCCCGAGAGAGCCCCACGGAGCCGCAAGAGGGGAAGCATCAATCGAGTCGCAGGGAAGGCCCTTGAGCAGATGCTGGATGCATCTGGGCACTCTGACGCCGAGTTAGTGGCAGATTTGGCAGCGGCTTTTAAGCTGATCGGGGTGATTCCTCCGAGCGGCACGCTGCCAGCGCGTGCGCCTGTCGCGCCTCTGCCTTTGGACCTGCTGTGGGCGTGCGCGCCCGCGACCAACGCGAAGCTGATTTTGAGGGCCGCCGGGGGGGAGCGGTCCCGACAGGGGATCGCTGGGGGCGGTCCCGGAGGGTGTCCTGGGGGGGGGGTCCCGAAGCCAACAGGGCCCACGAGGGCCCCCACGAGGGCTTGCGAGCGTCGTCGTGGTCTTCGTCCCCCTGCAGGGTCGGCGGGACCGGCCAGAGGGCCTTCGCAGCAGAAGGATGGAGATGGGTCCTTTACAGAAGGAGGTATTGCCAGAGTGGTAAGCCCACCAGGCGCTCGTTGTTCAGGGAGGGGTTCCCCGCACTGTAAACGAGGACATGCAGGGACTTACGACGAGTGGACTTGTGACGGAACGGTGTATTGCAGCATCGTTGATACATTTCGGGTGTACTTTGGACCTCCTCCTCCTCCTCCTCCTCCTCCTCCTCCTCCACTTATCGGCTCCTAATGGCGCTGAAGCCGTCCGTTATCGCAGAGCGAGAAGTGGCCAACAACAAAAATCAAAGGGCAAGGGCGAAAATGTTCAGGGAGGGATGGACGGCCAACCTGCCTGCGCGCTCCACTTCAGCGGCATTGATCTCCCGAAGGTCGCTCCCGAGCACGGGTCAATCCCGCCCCTGAGCAGACGCAAACTCTTAGCTGCATCTCGAGTGTGAGGACCTCTCACGCAGTCAGCCCCAAGGAAGCGAGAACGGGCGGCTCCGAAACCGCCGCAACACGATCACCGCGCCCCCCGCCCCCCAGCCGTAGACGATTAGTCCTGCGAGCTGTCCTCGCATCCTGCGGCAGGCCGCCGAAAGGCACGAGAGCGATGTGCGCCCGCACCATCTCCCTCTCTCGCCGCAAATCGCACTGTTTCCCGGCACTTTCAAGCAAACTGGCCCATTGGGGCTCTGGGATTACTTGCAAAACCTCGGGCTTGGCCCGCCTGCGCCTTTTGCACGCGGAGAATGATCAGCTGAAAGGCCGTCCATCACCTCAGCGGTCAGCCACGCCGTCTGCTTCAGTAAATACTCACTATTCTTACTCTGGGCGCGATTAAGGGTTGGATGGGTGGGCACAGGGGCCAGCTTCGCGAGCTCGTCAGCTCGCTGATTTCGACCTCCTCCTCCTCCACCTCCTCCTCCTCCTCCTCCTCACCCTCCTCCTCCGCCTCCCACTCCTCCTCCTCCTCCTCACCCCTCCTCCTCCTCCTCCTCCTCCTCCTCCTCCTCCCTCCTCCCTCCTCCCTCCTCTCTCCTCCTCCTCTCACCTCCTCCTCCCTCCTCCTCCTCCTCCTCCTGCTCCTCTCCTCCTCCCCCTCCTCCTCCCTCTCTCCCCTCCCTCTCCCCTCCCCTCCACTCACCCCTCCCCTCCACTCTCCCCTCCCCCCTCCCCTCCCCTCCCTCTCCCCTCCCCCCTCTCCTCCCCATCCTCATCTCCTCCCTCGCGCTCGGGTGCGGCGGCGCCTGCGGCCCAGCGCCCGACTGAGACGGCGGCCTCGCCGGCGGCGGCGGCGGCGGCGCCGAGAATCCGGTCTCCTTGGGTGGGAGGGGGGCGGACGGTGGGGGAGGGAGGGAGGGAGGGGGGAGGAGCGACCGAAGGGAGGGACGGGGGAGGGGGGTGGGGGGAGGAGCGACCGAAGGGAGGGAGGGGGAGGGGGGGGGAGGGAGGGGGAGGGGGGGGAGGAGCGACCGAAGGCCGAAGGCACGAATGCCCAGTCGATGCCAGGATGCGCCGTACAGTGCGACACGCGCTCCGCGCAAGCTTCGAGAGACGGTGCTTGGCCCACGGGGCCAGGCCCCAGACGACCGCTCACCAGGGCAGCACCAGGGCTCTACCCCTCGGCCCATCCAGGCCCCGGGGCAAGCGCCCACAGCTCTCAGAGCCGAGTCCAACTGCGGCGACGCTGGGCCCAGCGGCCGACGGAAAGGACGGAGGAGGGTCGGGGAGGAGAAAGGGAGCGGGGCGGGGGCTTCCCCGCGTGGCAATCGCGATTCAGCTGCTTCAAAAAATGAAGAGGAGAGGTGAAAGGTGTTTCCATATCTTGATCGATTGGAATATTTCGTCGACTGCAGCTTGCTCGTAGTCGTTATCCGTCACCTGCCCCCCCCCCATGGCGTTGCATTAGGATCGGCGAAGGAACCCCGACCATCACCATGAGACCAAACCCGCGGAGTCGGTTTAAAGTTCGGGGTTCTTGATGGGCGCCTCATGGGGCAGCCAAGCCCGTGGTCGGCATATTCGGGACATGTTCAGACAACGCCTCTGTGAAGCTTCCGTTCCTCGACGATAGCTCTCTTGTGGTCGCGCCTGCTAGTATTTGTTTGTGTTTTGACAGGTCCTGTCCTTACTGAGCGAATGATATTGCCGTCTTCTTCCCGTTCAACATTGCGAGAATAATTGGAGCAGCGAATCGGGTGCTCAGCCCAACCCTTGTTCACCCAAAATCGAATCTTATCTGGGCGCATGCACTGACAAACCAATCCAGCTTCCGCGTAGCCAACAAGGCGCTGGATTCCACCCCCTGGATATTCTTCTTGTGGTTGATCTTCTTGAGGCGGGCGCCCCCGCAAAAGCCCCCCCCTCGGGGGGGCGCCAGATCAATGGGCCCGCCATGGACGGGGCCTTCGGAGCCCCCGCGCCAGGACGGTTAGGGCGCTGAGGGCTGCTAGAGCGAGCGCCGCTGGAGCGCGCGCGCGCGCGGTCGGGCGAGCGACTGGGAATCCGACCGCGACGTGCCAGGTGATCTTTATCTTCCCATTATTCGTCGTCGTCGTCGACGCGATACTTGTTCCTCCAGACCTGGCGGCTCGTCGATCGCCCCTGGCGGCGCATGGGGCGGTCCGAAGCTACAAATGCGCATTGCATTCCTTCATCATGGCCAAGTTCATATTGAACGCGCTCAGACAGATCACGAACGTCTCGCGGGTTTCCCCGCCAAGGGCCATCATCACTCAATTCCATGTTTGTCGGATTTCCAATGGCCCGAGGATGAAGCATCAACTGCATGTCCTCTTCTGTCGCAGGAATAGTTGCATATGAATCCGCGGGCGCCCCCGCCACTTCGGCATCTCCTCCGGTGGGCATATAAAAGTTCTCGACGCATTCAATCTGCAGGTTGCCTCGCGATGGGCATGCCCAAGCAGTCTGCCAGATCAATGCCGCTGTGGCCAGCGAATACCTCCTCGAACAGCTCGTCGGCGCAATTCTCGAGGGACATACTGGCACTCAAATATCTGGCAGACATGAAATCAACAACTGCAACTGAGCTATCGGCAGGGTCGGCTAAAAATGACTGCCAGTCAACATACTTTATATCTCATTCCGTTGGAGCCAATTGCATCGACGGACCTCTGCCTCTCCCATCGCCCTGAAGGCATTCGCGGCGAAAGTGCTGCCTGCTATTGTCGCACTCCATAGTTTTGCCATTGGTATTCTTCGGGTTTCCCCCACGCCCCTTACCTTCTCCTGACGCATGCCTACGATTCCTGCCTGCGCCCAAGAATGTCCCTTCATATTGTGGCCCGGTGAGGGGTGCTCGGAATGCTAATGTGCCTCTGCCATGCAATCGCCGGCGCTTACCTCTACCCTTACCTCGACCCTTGCCTTTTCCCGTGATTGCTCGTCGGGCGATACGCCGTGCCTTGCGGACTGGCTTCTTCATTAATCGCCTCCATCTGCGCTTATGTTTCTGGCATCCTAAGAATAACCATTGCGCCTGTTGCTCTTCCGCGAAGTATGTAAGCATATCGGAGTAGTCAAGGGCTGCGGCCTCGTCGTCCGAAGACTCATCGGCGTCTGCACCAGAGTCGAAGTCAGACTCGGCAGGTTGCCCCGCGGAGCCCGTTAGGGCCGCGGCCGACGCGGGGGATGCCGCGTCGGGCGACCCCCGAAACCTGGCCCAAGAGTCTTGCGACCCCGAGGCCGATCCACCATTCTGCGCCAGTCGCGTGTATTGGTCTCAGTTGGTGGTGGATCGTCATTCCAGACGTTCTTTGCAGGTTGCCCTGCGTCTGTCTCATGTTGGAAAGTCTCGGTTCGATGGCCGTGACTGAAAATGCCACCACTATTGCCGGGGGCTCTCTCAACAATGTGTGCACATGACCTCGCGCGTTCAAGTAGGGCGTCAAACTGTTGCTGGTCTCTCAGCATGTGGCGGTTTAGTGGCTCCAGGAGTTGCTGCGCACGCGATGTCCCCACTCCAAGAGCTCTGAATAAACTAACTGTTAAGATTTGGAGGTTGGGGATGTTCAAGCCTGCCGTTTCAGCTTCATAGCGGGCTATCTCGAAGCGTGCTAACGTTTGGTCGATTCGTTCTCCCGCAAGGACTCGGAACTCAATGAAAGCTGTACCAGAGTCGAGTTGGCGCTCCTCTTCATAATCCTCGGCCTTCGTGCTTAAGAGGAACAGGATGTAGGTGGCGCCGTCGGTATGGCGGCCACCTATGTTAACGCCAAAATTGATAACTGCTGGGGGGGCTCTCGTGGCCATGGTCCGTGCGAGACCTCCCAAACCTCGCTGCAGGGCTGCAGCGTGCTGGGAGGGCGCCATGTTGCCTGCGGTCACGTCGATCCAAGCATGTACCTCGCGGGCGAATTCGCGAAAAGGTACCTGACCAGCTGGGCCCCAATGAGGGCTGGTCGTTCTTGTGTCGTCTCCGCCACGCTTATGTCCTACCGCACACCCGATACCGACCCATATGAGCCCAAAGATAGTAACACCAACCCAATGGCCTCGTAGGTCGTAGTCGGATGTAGTCGGTTGGGGCTTCCGATGTGTGGTCGTGAGTCTGCGCGGGGGTGGAGGCGGCCCGCATCGCATCGCATGTTTCCACGCATGATGTCTTCGAAGAAGTTTCAGATTGGAGTGGGTGGGTGGACTTCAGGAGTGTACGAGGCCTCCGCTTAAGCAGAGGTGTCACTGCAAGTGTCCTTGCTATACTGCGTAGTTATATACACTCCTCCGCGCAAGCCCACTGCACCCTGATGTTCCACCATGTTGAAGGCCTAGAAATGGGCACCAACACCAAAACCGGGAGTTGCCTCCACATGGGGAGGATGATCCTCGATTTCGGTTATAGCGGCAATATTTCAGTCACCTTGGAAGCCACAGTATTACCACCAGCACCGAGATCGGGATGATCTTCCCTCGGTGAAGGCACACCGCCGGTTTTGGTGTTGGTGCCAACCTCTAGGCCTGTGACCATGTCTGTAGTCCACCAGATAGTGCCGTGGATGGTGAGGATAGAGCAATATCTGACCACCATAGGCCAACTCCGCTACCAAGTTTGCACGGGGTTGGGAGACCCAACCAACTACTTCACCTTAGGCGAAGCCCAGCTCCCGCTCTGTTGTACCGTAGCAACGATAGTCCCAGTAGTAGGGGGCGAGTCATCTCAAGCAGTATTTTGGAACCGATGGCAAATAATACACTTCGCGCTGAAGTGTAGTCAGATCTGGGCGGCCGGCCGCTTGACCCACGCGGCCGCGGGCACACGTTCGTTTTCCGCTCCCTATGTACCCCAGTTCATTTTAGAGTTTGCGCGCCTTCTGATGGAGACAGCTCTTACAATGCGATTGCTGGGGGGGCGCCATCTCTTCAGACAGGTGCGGAGAGGGGCGCGCCAAGCCAACCAGCCCCTGGCCCAAAAAGCCTCCACCTTCAGGAAGGGCAGAAGAGGCCAGAAGAGAATTCCAGCCTTTGCTCATGTTCGGCTTTCCGACGGCCGACGAAAACGACGGCCTCACAGGCCACCAAAATGGCCCCACGAGCGTCCAAGAAGCCTCTGAGATGGCCTTCTTGCCCGAGTGGCGCCAAGACAGCCCCAAGGGGGCCCAAAGACGGCCCGGAAGACATCCGAGGCGCCCAACATCGTTTCCAAGACTGCCCTGAAGCGCCGTAAGATGTCCTAAAGTCGGCCCAGAGATGCCCGCAGGACGGCATCCGACGGCGTCGGACGGGCCAGGAACGCCGTCAGACGGCCAAAGCGCCTCCCAGAGAGCCTCCAAAGACCCCCGGGAGGCCTGAGGAAACCCCCAAGAGGCCTCGAAGAGGCCCCCAGGCAACTCCCAAGAGGCCGCAAGAGTAGAGGCTCCCCAGAGGCCTCCACTTCCTCTTCCTCCTCCTTCTCCTAATCCTTTTTACTCCCTCTCCTCCTCTGCTTTCTCCCCAGCGTGTTCTACGAAGAGTTTCCACAACGGATGGGAGAAGACGCAGTCCGATAGCTTGGCCGAGCTCTGACCGCAGCGTTCGGCCACATGGGCTTTTTCAAGAGGCAGGAGGCCCGCGGTGATCCGCCGTAGGCGGTTTCGATAATCTAGATCCTTGCGCATGGAGCAGGAAGAGTAGCAACGACCAGATCCTGAATACAGATGATCCAGAGTCGAGGGTTCGCCCCCCCCGCCCCCCCTCGGGGGCGGCCAAGAGGGGGTGTCCAAGAGGGGGGGGTGCAAATCATGGCCGGCGGCATGTGCGCGGCCCAAGAGGGGGGGCCAGGGACGTAATGAAATAAGAAGATGCGCCATGAAATCTGATGAAAAATCATGGCCCACGCCATGAAATCCACCCCCCTCTTTGCCGCCCCCGACCCCCCCAAAGATGGAACGGATCCAAGGCCCCACCTACCCCCCCCCGGGATAGGATGGGGGCACGACGAAGACGACGACGACGAAGTCGACGACAACGACGACGACGACTCACCATATTCACGAGATACAAGATCAACATGTTCCTGGGCGGTGTGGGACATGTTGGCCCCTATCGGCGACGAGTGGACGACTGGGGGTCGATGCATTACCCCGCCCCGAAGTCAGGACGACGAGACGACGACGACGCCGCCGACGACGCCGCTGACGCCAGCGGCGACGGCGACGGCGACGGTGACGACAAGACGACAGGAGAGGACGACGGAAGGCGACGGACGACGACGACGACGACGACAACGACGGCACCGGAGCACTACCCCACACCTACAGAGGGAGTGGGAGGGGGGGCACAGGCACCCTACCACCACGCCCAAGCCCACGAGGGGGGGTCCACCACGACAAGCCCATACGGGGGGGACCCATCCCGCGGGGGGGTCCCGAAGGCATCAGCATGAAGGGGGGACGCCTGGAACCCTATAGCATGATATGGCGCTATCTCGTCATCCACGGCGGGAGGAGAACAACGAACAGGATGAGGAGGGGCAGCAGCGACAGGAGGAGCATAAAAGCCATTTATAACGAGAAAACTGCGCAATGCACGTGCCATTCTATTGGAGCGGAGCAGCAGTGCGCTGTAAGGACTCGCCGTTGAGAGTTCCTACATGTACCGATCGCGTTACGCACTGGGCTTGGTCAACTTGCCAGCTATCTTGAAGTAAGTGCGAACGGCCGAGGAGAGAACGTAATCCCTACTCTGCAAAAATAACTTAAAACATCGGCTTGGCAAGGTAGGGCGTATGTCATTCCCCGATGTGGATGGGAGGTCTGGACCGTGATGTACCAGACATCACCAGACGCAGCGTGCAAATACTAAGTATATGAAATTATAACGCGTCTCATGCGGATCTGCTGAGACGCCAATCCACGAGCTTCGACGCAATAGACCGGCAGGTGACGATGGAGCCACCCAGGAGGCACATTTCACGAGGGGGAAAGAGAGGTCAAACAATGCGCTGCGCGCAGACTCCACGGACGACGCGACAACGCAGGCGGCTACAGGCGGGCGTCTTCCGCACACCGCTTTTCCACCGCGCAACTGCTCAAAACGCGGGGTGCTTTGAAAGAATCACGCCGAACCTCCCGCAACGGTCGCCTCGCGCCCGCCCCTGCCAGCTTCGTCGTGCCACGGAGAGAAGCCAAAAAATGATGATAATAATAATGATGATGATGAGGATGAGGATGATGACGACGATGATGATGATGATGATGATGATGATGATGATGATGATAATGCTGACGATAATGATGCTGATGTTGATGTTGATGCTGAAGATGATGATCATGGTGATGGTGATGGTGATGGTGATGGTGATGGTGATGATGATGATGATGATGATGATGAAGCTCTCGAGGACCCAAAGGCTTTCATGAGGTGTACACGCTCACGCCTTCATACCTTTCGCGCCCGACAGATGACGAAAGGTGCCATGTGGTGATCACGCGGCGCCTCCCCGCCGCCTGCATGAGGTTGCTGCAGGGGGCCACCTACAACCCGATGTCTCTCGTGCGAGCAGGCTGAGGAGAGGAGGCGAGTGAGGAGTTCGGGTCGCTGCATTCCGTCGGACTCAGTGGGACTAGGATACGCCAACCTCTACAACGCAAACGACACACATGCCAATACACTGATCACTGGGCCACAGTGGGGACATGGACCTGGTACGGGGTCGAACAATGCAGCTGGTGAGGCAATAATGTTTCGAAAGAATTGCGTGAAATCGACTCAGGTACGACGTTCTGGATTATCCAAATTCATGCCCAGGAGGAGGAGGAGCAGCCAGAGTGGTACAGAATTATCTTGACATGACCTTCATTGTCGCATACTTCCCACCACCCCCACATGGACACACGGCAATGAAGCGATGGAGACAGACGGTTCGGACTTTGGCTGAATGTATTGACATATGATGAAGTACTGGCAATATCGACGTCTATTATTATTATGATGGATTTGAATGGTGATTTCTCTTGGATTGCTTCTGAATTGACGCCGAAAGGAGCACCGGCATCTATTATGGGCAAGGTTCTTACAAAACATTACCTGACCGTGGCAAACAAGCATTTCGGGCATGCTCCCACATACTACAATACACGACATTCGTCGACCATAGACCACAGATGTGTTCCGGCATCGGCTGGAGCTGATTTGCAGGCGGCACAAATTTGGAGACAGCAGGTCGTAGATCGCAGCTCGTTCCCGACTCAATACCCAGAGGTCATGTAACTTTGATTATGAAGTTCCACTATGAATTAGCAGTGCGGAAGCCCCCATCTCAAGCACGAGTTTGGAATCAGGATGCGATTGCTAGATGTGTTCAGAAAAGATTTAATCACAGACGAGCTTCTCCACGAAGTCAGAAACGTCTTGGAAAAGAACTCGGAGGACTTCAGAAGGATCCAGGAGACCCCGACCACGGACCGACACTGGAAATTGTCATGTGACTTGGTGGCGCCCGTTGCGTGCCTGTTTTTTGGGAGGACCCCGACGGGCACTCAGGCCGACTGGAAGCAGCGTGGTCGTCAACTCCTAGCTGAGCTGAGCAGCAAGAGTGAAGCAGCGGATAAGTGGAGTGTCGAGGAGCATATTGAGAGGATGGAGGAGATCAAGAAGCTGAGCAAGCAGATCATGCAAACAACACGAACATCATAGAAATAATAGAAGCACGTACCAGCCAGGAGGTGATAGACGCCTGGAACCAGAATGATCATGCACTCGTAGCCAGATTGTGTCGACAGCTCGCTGGAACCCAGATGCTCGCCCGAAAACGGTTTTGCAATACGATACATGGTGCCAGAGCCACGCGTACAGAATGGAGAAAGGCTTTGGGGCGATCGGGGCCAGAAAGTGGAATCACGGGGCGCTTGATAGAGTTCGCTCGCCATGAATAGTTGCCGGAATGCACAGGGCGACGCAGAAGATTGCGCAAGTTTTGACCTGAAACGTACTCGTCGACAGCTTCGTCGGTGCCGACGTCGCCGCGCCGCCCCGCCGTGAGCATGCCGACAGACCTTCGGTGTTTTCTGACCGCGCCAAAACCCAGACCACAAAAGAGAAACGCAATGATGGGGCTAGGTGCTCAGATGCGCAGGGAGGGGCACCAGCAGCATTAGCGCAGCAGGTTCGAGATCCCCGCCCGACGGAAGCTGGCATGCCTGGCGCGAGCCTTGAGGGAGCTGGCCGTGAAGGATGGGCCCTGACCTCCCTTCCTGCGGCAGGCGTTGACAGAAGAAACCGACATGTCGATGACAACTACACATGCATACATCTGCTCATGAGCTGCACGTGCGACCGCATGCTCCGGCAATGGGGGCATCTGATTCGCTGAAGGCCAGTGGTGCGGAAAAAAACACGACAAGGGCTCAGAACCCCAATATTCGGGCAACTGGGGCACAAGCTGCTCGATGATGGGGGTGGAGTGCGGACAACAAAAATAATGAAAGGTATGGTCGGTGACACACTGCATACATCCAAAAACGCATCGGCCCGTGGCTTCCCTGAATCGACGGGTGGTCGGCCAGGCATTGAACATGGTTTTTTTGGGACGGATGTAATCAGGAATCTAGGCCTCCGTTTGGCAATAACGTTTAATCTGAGAAATAGAAAATCAGCATCAGTTCGGGTAGCCTCCTCATTCCCATAGAGTTGATTGGGAACGACATGAGGACGATTCTTCAGCAGGGGAATTGACACTTTTTTCCCCCCACATCCAAAGTGGGGTTTTTGTTTTCTCTGGACACCCCGCGCAGGAACAGGAACCCACCATCATCATCATCATCATCATCATCATCATCATCATCGTCATCATCATCATCATCAGCAGCAGCATCATCATCACTCATTATTCACTCACTCACTCACTCACTCATCATCCCCTCGCACACTCACTCACTCACTCACTCACTCATTCACTCACTCACTCACTCAATCACTCACTCACTGACTCATCAGCACTCACATACGATGATGATGAGTGTGCGCGTGAGAAAATGTGATGAGCATCATCATCACCAGTCAGTCAGTCAGTCACTCACTCACTCACTCACTCACTCGCCTTGGGCCTCGTCTGTGAGTGACTTGCGAAGAAGTCTCAAGCGGGAGCCCCCTCCCTATGGGGCCCGCGGACCATGTTACTAATCCGAGCATGTCATCCAATTCCTGTAACCGTCGCCACTTTTGGGCTCTCGCGCTGCCAGAACGCCATTCCCAGGCCACATCTGTGAGTGAATTGCGAGAAGTCTCAAGCGGGACCCCCCTCTCTATGGGGCCAACGGATCATGCTACTAATCCGAGCGGGTCATCCAATTCCTGTAACTGTCACCACTTTTGGGCTTTCGCGCTGCCAGAACGCCACTCCCAGGCCACATCTGTGAGTGAATTGCGAGGAAATCTAACGCGGGAGCCCCCTCCCTATGGGGCCCGCGGATCATGTTACTAATCCGAGCGGGTCATCCAATTCCTGTAACTGTCGCCACTTTTGGGCTCTCGCGCTGCCAGGGCGCCATTCCCAGACCACATTTCGAATGCCTGGAGCCAAGTGTAGGCCGCTTCGTGTTCTTCGTGCTCCCAGAACACCACTCCCAGGCCACATTGTGAATGCCCGGGGCCAACTGTAGGCCACTTCGTGTTCTTCGTGTTCCCAGAACACTACTCCCGGGCCACTTTCTGAATGTCCGGAACCAAAACATGAGGGCGAGGTCGGCGGCAACGTAGGGAGCGGGGGGAGGGCTCGCGCCAGGGCGAGAAGAAATATACGCAGAAGAAACAGCCAGGACGCCTCACCAACCACGAAGACGACGGTGAGGGTTTTTTCCAGACTCGCCCAGAAGATTCTCATGCGGGGTCCTTCCGTCGGAGTAATTTGCAACTGCTTCGGCTGTTTATCAGTAGGGGTTTGCGGAATGGCGATGAAGCGTTCGTATTTTCGACGCATAAAGTGCATCATATATTTTTTTATAATATGGATGAAGAACATGCGCGGAGGCGTACTCGTCATCATTGGGGGCCTCGAGATATAGACGGTGGATATATGAAAAACTGTTGGCCCCCCAGGGATGTCTTTAACATGGCAGCGCGACGTAGGAGGGAGACGCTGCGGCATTCCATTGGCAGGCCCATATCCCGAAGGTGGAACATGGCCGTCGGCGGGAAAGCGTGCCTTGGCGCCCTCGGCTGTAGCTGGTGCGCCTCTCGCCCTTGTCTGAGCAACTGCCGGCAAAGAGGAACACACTGCCCCACATGAAACACAACTGGCAGCGCGTAAACATTGAACGCCTGGATGGACTGAACGAAGCTCTAACCCTAGCCTCCGAACGTCTTCAGTACGCGACCTGAACTTTCGACCCACGGCAATCCAGGCGTCGACCGAGCCACCAAGGCCCACAACCACACCCAAGAGGGTCCCACAGAGCGTTGTATATAAACTGAGAGAAGTTCATACCATGGATGCGGAAGGCGTCGGCGACCTTCTCGGCGTCCTCCTGGTTCAGCAGGACGATAACACACTTCTTCACATTCAATTGCAAATATGTAGTGTTCCCCGCGATGCATAGACGCCTTATGATGCACGGCGCTGTCTTGTAAAGATTACGAGCGGCTAAGGAAAGACAATCAGCAAGAGAACGGAATTCAAATTCTGGTCGGGCAAATAGCTGTAACAGATATCTGAGAACGGAGCCCAGGATCATACCGAAAAAGACAACACTAGGGGGCACCCTTGTTTCATACCCCGAGACGGCCAATAGCCATGACGGCTGTTTCCCATGGAGATTTGCGTCCAGACATTTCTGTAAACAACACGAATAGCGGCAACCCAGAAACACGGAAGGCCCATTCTAGCAAGCACCAGCAGGATCGAATTCTGGAAAACACTCACGAACGCGTTCTTGAAATCGAGGAACGTGAATCCACGCCGTTATTCACGCAGCACGGCCAGCTTGTCATCTAAAGCGATGATGTTATCGTTCATGAGCCTACCATTCACGAAACCACGCTGAATTCGTCACAAGTGTCGGCCGCGACTTCATTCGAAACCGACGCGATCGCTGCACTCGGCAGCTCGTTATCCGTGTCGGACAATGATAAGGGGCGCGCTGTGGTAGGACCCCGTACCTCCTCACCTTTGTTCATCGCATCCGCCTTTGGCAAGTAAGCGGCGCGGCAGTGGTAGAGATCGTCCTCCTGGTGACCTCCTACCAAGAGAAAATCCGCCGGCCCCTTGTGGGCCTCTAGGCGTTTGAAATAGAACCCAACCCAGGGGCCCCAGGGGGCCTAAACCGGAAAGTTGACCCCCCCCCCCCGGCCCCGGAGCACCCGCCGCCGAACGAGCCATGGGGGAGCAGAAGGTCCCAAAACCGGCCAAAAGCGCACAAACGGGCCCACGCGACGGTCCAAGAAGGCCCCAACAGGCCTCCGAGACGGCCCACGAGGACCCCGAGACGCCAAACGAGCGCCCCAAGACGCCCAAGACGGCCCAAAGACGGGCTAAGAGGCCTCCTAGACAGCCCAAGAGGTCCCCACGAGGCCCCAAGAAGCCTCCAAGATGCGCCCCAAGAGGATCCCTAGACGCAAGAATTGGCCCATTCCCTTGATAAACGTACAATTTGCACAAATTCGCCTTCTGGGCTTTCCGATGCTCCCAGACGGCCCAAGAGGCCCCCAAGACCGCCCCAAGACAGCCCAAGAAGCCTCCAAGAGGGTCTCAATATGAGCCCAAGAGGGCCCCAATACGGCCCAACAGGCGTCCAAGACGGCCCAAGAGAGCCCCGAAGACGGCCCCCAGAGCGCTCCAGGAGCGCTCCAAGTGGCCTCCAAGAGAACTCAATCTGGTCCCAGACGGTCCAAGAGCGATCAAAGACACCGAAGATGGCCTCCAGACGGCCCAAGATGCCCCCAAGAGGCCCCAGGAGGCATCCAAGATGCGTCCCAAGAGGGCCTCTGGACGCAAAATTTGGCACGTTCCCTTCGTAAAACGTGCGTTTTCAACAAATTCGCCCCTTGGGCTTCCCGACGCTCCCAGACGGCCCAAGAGGCCCCCAAGACCGCCCCAAGACGGTCCAAGAGGCCTCCAAGAGGGCCCCAAGACAGCCCAAGAGGGCGCCAAGACGGCTTAAGAGCCGCCGAAGACGGCCCAAGAGAGCCCCGAAGACTGCCCCAGGAGCGCTCCAGGAGCGCTCCAAGTGGCTTCTAAGAGAGCTCAACACGGTCCCACACGGTCCAAGAGCGATCGAAGACACCCGACGCGGCCTCCAGATGGCCCAGGACGCCCCCACGAGGCCTCCAAGATGCGTCCCAAGAGGGTCCCTAGACGCAACAAGTTGCCATTTCCTTTGTAAAAAGTAAATTGTTTCACACGTTCGCCTCGCGGGCTTTCCGACGCTCCAAGACGGCCCAAGAGGCGCGGAAGACCGGCCCAAGACGGCCCAAGAGGCCCCCAAGATGGCCCCAGGACGGCCCAAGATGGCCCCATGACGGCCCAATATGTCCCCAAGACGACCCCAGAAGGCCCCAAGACGGCACCAAGCGAGGCCCAAGAGGGCAACCACAAAAAAATCAAAAAAAAATCTAGCTTTCCGCCCCCACGAGCCCCAAGGGGCCTCAAGAGTGCCCCAAGAGGACGCCAGAGGCCCCCAAGAGGCCGCCCCAAGGAGCCCCCAAGAGGCCCCGAGGAGGCCCCCAAAAGACCCCCAGACGCTTCCGTACTGCGAGCCGCCAAGCCAACGGCAATGCACTCCGCGCATACAGCCTTGCTCTTCCTCGCGACGTGCTCGCTATCTTGCTCGGCGCTAATGCGCTGCTGCCGCGCGAACTGTTTCGCGCGCGCTGCGAACGCCAACAGCCACTTCACCCGTTTCGACTCATCTGCCACATCTTTGGCGGTGATGCCTCGCTGATCACAGCTTCCGCGCACTGCTCTTGCTCCTTTCGTCTTCCGGCGGCCCTCCACTTGGTTGCGGGTCGAATGGCCGACCTCCCAGAAAGACGCCCCGCACCCGGGCGCACAGCGCGCAAGGCGCTCGCAAAACACGCCCATGACCACCGACATCACGCAAACATGGTTAATTGCTGCGTTGGCTCCGGCCCCAAAATTTAGCCAGGGAGAGCATGGGGCACCATCGGGGCCAGCTGCGGCATCCTTCTTTCTTGAAGCCAGTAGACCCAGAAACTGATATTCGAGTAACTTCCAATCGAAACGTTGTTTCGTTTTGGTTGTGAAATGCTCAGTCGAACCGTCGACGCACTGGATATAGCTATATAGGAGATGATCTTCAGGGGGCCCAGAAGGAGTACAACTGAATACTCGGCCCCAATGTTCGGCTAGCTTCGCTGCTGCGTCATTGGGGTCGGCGTGTACTTCGCCGCCAGAGCCTTTAACTCATGCTTACATGACGCGTGGGCGCTGGGCAGCTCATGCAGCCGCGAGTCGGCGCACTCGCCTGATAACCTGCTCCACCTTCTCTGCCCCATCCTCCGCATGCTGTAAGATCCCCGCCTCCTCCCCCGTGTGCCGCGCACGCATGGACCCCCGAAGGTGTGCGCGAAACGCATCGTGATCCAGCCGCGACATACCGGCAGGATTGTAGAAGGTAAACGGATGCCTATATCCACAACATGCTCGTCGCGCGCGCCGCTGGCCCTGAGACCGATCTGCACTGGCGAGCTCCAGCACGCAGGCGGTCTTCTCTGCCTTGGTGGCCGCTCCAGCGAGCTCTATGCGCCGACGGGCCTGGGAGCCGGCGAGGCGTGGGATGGCTATGGTCTGTTTAGCCTTCGTTGGCGGATGAGGCGAGTGCCCGATCTCCTGAATCGTCTATTCTGCGAATTCCTCGGACTTGACGTGCTTGGCAACCCAGAGCGGGATGCCTGGGCGTGCCCTCTCCAGGTCCTCGCGGCGGCTGTGGCGTGAGAAGTACAGGCGCATGGTCGGGGGGCTCGCGCTCCTCCGCAACCTCCAAAAAAAAACACCTGAAGACGGACGGTGGTCTAGAAGCGTAGGAATGTTCATGTTGATGGATATGCGATCGAGACGAGCGTAGCTTTGACGACCTCGAATAATGGCTTTGCGCGAGTACGATGGCTGTTCCACGTCTGAGAATCTCGGGAAGAGGGCGCCGAAGACTGAAGCAAGCCTCGAAGGAGTAGGGGCAGGACTTGGCGGAGATGGATAAAATCTAGCTGCGCCGTGCCCGCGAAAGTTAAGTGCCCGATAATCGCGCTCGTGCGTTGAGACTGCGGTAGTACCTGATGAGAGAGAAGGATGAGGACAGAACGATTATATCTCCCCAGCCGCTTGGATTTTTTAGAATGCAGCGCCGCAGGAGACAACCGCTTGGCCCGCGACAATTCAAAGAAAGCATGCGACCAGGAACCAGGGGCGCGGGGCCAATCACAGAACTTCTCAGCGAGGCTTTTGCGAACCAAGTTAACGATGCCCCCGGCGTGCCCATCCGCGATGAAAGAGCCGGAGGTACGAAGCCCAAGGTAAGCGCGCTCCCTGGCATCGTGATCCCCTTCCTGACCGTGGGTCCCCTGTGCAGCGACTACATCCATTATACTAGCAGGCCTGGCCAACGCTGCGAAATTCTCACGAGCGCGGAGGAAGGAGGAGCGCAATGAGCGAAAAGGGCGCGCGCATTCCACGGGCGCACACGCAGCGCATGCGCAGGCGACAGTGGCTTGAGGCTGGCACTTGCAGCCGATTAATACAGAGGTTCGCCAGTGCCCCAAGACGAGCTTGAAGCTGATGAAGCACTGGATGACGAAGATGAGGACTGCGAGACGAGCAGGTCGTGCAGAAGTCGCTGGGCCCCACCGCATCGCTGTCGTCATCTGAGTCTATGTCCGATGAGCGTGACGGTGGTCTTTTCCTTGATGTAGAGCGCTCTCTGGCTGACGTCCGTCATGATGGCCTCTAACTTCTTCGCGTCTACCTGGAAGTACTCGCACGTGGACTGGTCGACATCGAAGGTGCCCGGTGCATGGTTGACCTCATTGAACGAAACAAGCGGCCACGCGTCAGTACCGTTGGTCCAGTGGACGGAGCCTTTGTATCCATTGATGATGGGCTTTGAACCTGGAACGTAGTGAGGACTATTGGCGAACAGCCCAGTGATGGGGCCCCAGGTCTTGCTCAGGGCGCGCTGCCTTGTTCCCATCGAATGGCAAATCTGGGCGTGCTTTCATTGAACGATGTGATCCGTCGCGCGGATCCATCCACAGATTCTGGGACGCGCTGCAGGTGGCGGTGAACTCCTCAGCGAGGGCCCCGCTGGAGAAGGCGAGGCTGTAAGACTGGCCGGGGCGGCGGATTTGGGGGCGTCACGGTGTTCAGCATCACCGCCGTCATGACCTGGCCCTTGAAACTGGCAAAGTGCGCCTGTCTCGTGGAAGCGAGCACGGGCCATGGGAATGTACCTATCCAGCGCCTGCACGGGTCATACTAGTATGAGGATGAGCGAAGGTTGTTGCGCGGCTTCTCCTTCAGCGTCGACTCGCCTGGACTTCGTGCGCGGCGACGATTAAACCCTGCCGACCCACGAAACACTGGCTCCCGCCGCCGAACCTGAGGATGAGCTGCTACTAGCCGTAGAGGGTGCCTGTGGGCTTTGGTTTGACTCCGGGTGCTCCGTTCCAGCTGGGCATGCATCGCGGCAGTATGCCGCTGAGTCGGCCTCTCTGCGTTTGTTGACCGCGTCCGTGAGGATGCTGAACTGCCCCGCGAAACTGGTCTGCGTCGCGGCGCTTAGGTCGCTGATCTGCTGCCCCATGGAAGCAGCGGGGCCCCCCTGCATGGCTTCGACCAAAGACTGCGCATCGTTGATCGTCATCGCTCTGAAAGAGACTGGGAGTGCGGGAGAGAAGACGGAGACCGGGTGTCCGCCTGGCGTTGAAACCAGGAAGGCCTCTCCAAGAGAAGCTGCCCGATCGCGGCCGCAAAGCGACGCCGCTATTGGCGCTTGAGCCAAAACGGCAACGGATCAGATGCGCAGGGAGGGGGAGGGTGTCAGCACGAGCGCACAGTGCATCCAGAAGGTTGTTGCGCGCGTCAGACGCGCGAAGGGGGCGCCCAGTTGTAGGGCGCAGGTCGCGCACATGGCAGTCGGACAGACAAAATGAAGTTCCCGGGGCGCGTGGCATCAGGCTGATTCATGGTTCATGTCCCCTCTGGCGCAACTTTCACCGAGGTCTGTATCGCACGCGCGCCGCCTTGCGCCCGCCGCATTGCGCTCGCGGTGGCCGAGCGCGCTTCCGCCGAGGCGGCGATGGTGACCCCCCCAAAACCGCGTGGCGCGCGCGAGGGTGCGGCCCCTTTTTTTCGGCGGCCTCGCATGACGCGCCAAACGCTTCCCCGTCGTCCCTGCGCAGCGTGATCAAACAAGACGGCCATGCTGCTCTGAAACGGCCGAATGCGACTCTGCCCGGTCATAAACGCAAACACCTGCTAGCGCAGATTGACACACTGGACGGGGAGGTGGATATACATGCGAGGGCAGGTGGTCTCATGGGAGATGGGAATGCGCCCGAGGAGTTCGTAGACGCGTTTCAACTGCCGCTTGACAAGCGGCGCCCAGCCCTGCAGGGTACCATCGACTAGATGATGATCACCCACCCTGCGTTTAACAAAGATACGGCACGTCCATCAACCCGCCCCTAGATGATAGCCTGTAGTTTCACGCGCAAGCTCGCCCGACAGCCGCGCGTTGCGCTGCCCAGCTTCGACGGGCGAACGCCGCGCTGGACGGAATCCTCGCCTCTGCTGGGTACGCCCAGAACCGTGGCAAACAAGAGGTCACCCCACGTCTTCGATCAAAACCGCCTCGTTTTCAAACAACATGGGATCGGGGGAGTACCTCGCCATATGAAATACCTGGGAGCGATTTTCGGTCCGACGGGGTCCGCGGCGTCTGGAAGGCGTGCCAGGGTCGAAGCATCGAACATCAAGTGGTCCCTGTTTATGGAGTTTGGTTACCAGTTGCCCCAGGGTGGTCAAACGAGCCGCGTGTATATCCAGGGCCCAGGGGGCCTGGAATGACCTCTTTGGTACTTCAGAGTGTTGATTATCGAGCTTTGGATAGACCTATCTTGGGACCTCTGAGGGCTATGCTGCAGGGGGACAAGGAAAGACACCGAGACCCACATCCGTACCATCACCAACCTTGAGGTTTGGAAGCTGTGGGAAATTGGAAAATTTGCCCGTCGGCCCTGGAATGAGGGTCCGCCGTCTGCGCTGGCTCCAGGCGGTGATGAAGTTTCCGATAGAGCACGAGCTCCCCGTTGAGTCGCGGTTCGGCAATATGCAGCGTGAAGCTGATTGCGCGGTTGCCGCGGCGCTGACACTGGACGACAGGGCAGATCAGTCCGCCAACCCTTGGGCGAAACTGTTCGAGGCAGACGCGTGCAGTCTTCTGGGGGCATCGGGGTGTTAGACCTGTTCGAGTATCTGAGATAGACGTATTGGGTCGCCACTTCGGGAGAACGATGTAGGTGAGGCTTTTTGTATATTGGATCCTGGGATTCTCCGAGACGAGTTCTGGCCCTCTTCATTTGCCACTCCTGAGTACAATGTGTTCGGCCCACGACCTGTTCTTGATAGTGGTACCCCATCGGAACCCATGTATGAGTGTGGTCTACTTGTGGAGTCAGACTGTAATGTGATGCGCGCTTCGCGACGGACACGAGCCTCCGCATCCACCATGTGAAATCGAATAGTCTTCGAAAGACCGCTCGACCCGCCATCGCGACACATCAACGCCCTGTGTGTAGCTCGATGTTTAAATGAGAGGCTTGTGCTAAACAGCATTTTCAATACGCCCTAGTCCATCATAGGTGTTATGCTGATCGGTCGTCCGTGGAAATTCCAGCACGCCAGCCTCCTGACCTAACGTGCCCGTTCTGCCACCATGAGGATTTGCAGACATTGCCTCGGCGTCAGAGATACATCTGTCAGCACGTCCCGCTGTCGATTGACCACGACATCGACCTACACTATGAGCCGTATGGCCGATGTGACACCGGAGGCGGTGACGGAGCCCAAGGCCAAGGAACGTCGGCGTGGAGGCTCAAGAGCTTAAGAGCCGCAGGGGCCAAACGTGGACATCAACGCCATCCAAGACCCGACGGTGAAACGTGTGCTGAATATGGTGTGGAAACATGTCGCCAAAAGCACGCAAGATATTCGAAACATCGAGCCGACGGTGATGGACACATTCAGGTGCAAGAAGGCAGCCCCTCTGATCCAGGCCTTGGCAGAGGAGCACAACAAGTACGTGGAAGTCGCACAGTCCCAAGAGATGACAGTTTCACCTGCACCCTACAAGGCGTGCGTCTTGATCCAACACCTGAAGGACACGGACGTGGGAGGGGCAAACAAAAAAGCTCTCGAGGAGGTCGACCAGAAGAAACAGAGGCGCGGAATAGAGGAGCTGGAGCTGGAGTTCCAGGTGATCGCCATCGAGAAGGCCTTCGACAGCGACATGTGCAAGCTGAATGTGGTGATGTGCCTGAGCCCTCATCGGGCGCTGATAGTCAACGCCATGAAGCAGCTGGAGTTCCTACACTCGTATGCGCCCGAGCCGCCCGTGTAACGGAGAGGCAGCTGTCGTCGTGGATCCAGGAGCTGAGCATGCGAGAGCACCGACTTCGGCGGCGTCTGCGAGGCCAGCTTCAGAAGTTGACCCGAGGAGTGAGCAGACAAAGCGAAGGAAGCTGGATAATGGGGGTGAACTTATGTCCAGTGTGCGGTCATTACATAATGAAGGGGACATACTACTCAGATGGGTCAACATTTTTGTTCGGACAGACCCGCTGATATTGGCAGAGCTGGTACTCACGATGTGATTACTGATGCTGGCAGAAGCAGTACACTACCGACGGTGACTACTGATGCTGGGCAGTTCCATGGCACCCAACAGTAGATTACTGGTGCTGGCAGAGATGGTACTCTTACTGTGACCACTGATGCTGGGCAGACTGGTGGACACGGTACTCAACAGATGATTACTGATGCTGGCAGAGATGGCACTCAACGATTGATTATTGGTACTGGTATGTGATTGCTGATGCTGGGCAGGCGGTTGCTTTACCTATCGTGAGTGCTGAGGTAGATGGTGGTATGTCTACCGAAGCTGGTACAAACGCAGTTTCTGAGAGGGTGCCTCCGAGAAATGAATTTCGTGAAGCACATGGTACTGGTCCTGTAAAAAGACGAGCCGCGCATGACCCGCCCATCATTCCCGCTCGTTCTAGTCCTGAGCCGTACTCTGAGCCTGTCCCGCCCTCCCTGGTTGCCTGGCCTCGTTTTGCTCCTTCCCTGAAGCCCAAGCCCCGCCCCAAGTACAGTAAAGAACATGAGCGGATGCTCATGTTCCACAATCGTAGAGAGGAGGAGGAGGAGGAGGAGGAGGAGGAGGAGGAGGAGGAGGAGGAGGAGGATGGGAATGGGACGGAGCAGAGAGGATAAAGAGTTAGCTCTTCCTCGCCCGTGGCCGCAGGGGAGGACAGGCCTCCCGACGCCGCGGACGTACTTGCGCACGTTCGAGATGCAGGCCCGCCCTCCGATGAAGCTCTGGCGTAGGCTCACTGGGGGGGTGCAACAGGACCCCCGCTCAGGCCGATATGACCACCACCAGGGTGGCATCAGGGATCAGTTTTGCATGTTTTCTAAGAGTCTGGCTTAGTTCACCCCCATGTGTTAGGCTTGAGGAGCTTGCTTGCCCATAACCTGCGATATATAGTATAAAAAGATAGATATGATAATATGGACATATGTGTACACATATCTAGTTAGTTCGATATATATATATATAGATTGTTAGGTACATAAATATATAGAAAATCTATATGTATAGAGAAAGGTATATAGATATATAGCTACATATATAGAATAGATAGGTATCTGGATATATGTATATGTACACGCATATATGAACATATACATATATATATACATAGACATGTATATATAGATATGTATGTATATATATATACAGAGAGAGAAATATAGATAGATAGATAGATAGATATATAGATAGATAGAAATATATATATATAGGTATATTGATATATAGATAGATGACGATGATGCTGATGATGATGATGATGATAATGATGATGATGATGATGATGATGATGATGATGATGATGTTGATGATGATGAGGGGAATGATGAGGAGGGATGTCACCTGCTGTCGCCGGGCGCAGCGTGCAGAGAACTCATAACTCATCTTACGAGATTCGTCGCAGACTGGAGTGTCCCCGAGCGCAAGCGTGCATATGTAAAGGGGCCCACAAGCACACAAATAAATACACACAAATAAAAAGATTCCCCATATTTTCCCATATGTTCTGGGTCTTTGTCTTCCCCTCCACTTCCCATATTTCCCCATACTTTCCTGGGAGTCGACGATTAATTGTGTCTGTGTATTGTTTCCCCTTCTGAATATGTGCACGATTAAAACTACAACTCATGTACGTATGCTGAGACGCCTGCCACGAGCCTCGGCGCAGTGTGAGACCCGCGTCGAGTAGTTATAATATAGTCGTGGGGACACCTGGTGAACGCGCAGATTAGCGCGGGTGCGTTGGACCGGGCAGCTGGGCACACCGCCCGCAAATTGACCGGCCCGCGCTGGGCAGATTGGGCAGCTCGGCACAAGCTGGCTGGACGCGCTGGGCCCGCACTGCGCCCCTGCAAATTCGCCCGCCAGATGTGCAGTGGCTTCTCGGCCTCGGCAGAGCTGGCACGATTCTGCAAAAAACACCAAACAAAAGCAGCTGATGCCCGCAGATTGAC